CGACATGCTCTGCTTTTCTCTCTTCAAGAAGAATTATGCTTCATCTTTGCTATCACTGATTATTTATCACAACCAAATAAAATATCTGAGACCACACATAACACTAACAATCTCTCAAATCTTTCCCATTCATCACTGGCAGAATAAAAGAATCAAAGTCGACTACCTCCACTGGTTTCCTATTTCTTCTACCTTAAAAAGCAAGAAACATCAGGATAAATAGCTAAATGACCTCAACAAGGGGGAAATCTACATTTTGTTGAATATAATTCTTCATTCTTCTGGCTGAAGCAAAGCCCAGGCATTTATAGCTTTATAAAGCCCCTAGTGTGATCTTGTGGTCTCTGGACAGCACTGTGAGGACCACTGTCATCAACTTCTGTTTTGTCTTGTGTTGGATTTGGGGTCTTCTTAGCATTTGCTAGCATTTTCCCATCCCCCGTGCTCACCACCTCCCGTAACTTTTTTGAAAGAGTTGTAGCTGTCCTGATCCTTTGTGTTTCAGAAAAATGCCATGAGGCAGTCAGTGTCCTACATTCAGATAATGCTAACTTTGTGGAGGAAATGACCAGTACAGATAACAGAATGTCGCTTATTGATTGTCCACTGAGAATAGAGCTCTGCTTTGTGCAGTGAGATATGACACAGCCACGTAGTGAACTGAGGATGGGAGGGAAGGCACTGGTCTTGAAGTCAGAAAACCTGCAATCAGAGCTCGGCTTTTCCACTTACACTTAGAAATTTAAGCAACTCCCAAAACTCCTTAAATTTTCACTTCTCTGTCTGTAAAACAGACACAGTGTTATCTACCTCACAGGATGGTTTTAAGGACAAAATGAAATCATGGGTATAAAAGTTTTAGGACCAGGGTAGGCACTCAGAAATTAAATCTGTGGGCTTACTTTCCATGGTGACCCTTCCATGTGGTCTAGTCTCTGAAAGGAGTTACTTTCAAATCAGCACGACCAAACAACTGAGAATAATAATACTCTTTTTTTCTAAAAAACGGACTCTATACTTTATTTGTTGCAAAATACTAGAGCATCTGACATATACTTTTAATAAAATACACACAATCTCAGTAAAGCACAACTACTTTTTCTTCTCCTGCTTCTCAGTTCAGATTCTATGAATCATCTTCGTTTGCTAAATCCCTTCCCTAAATCTTTTCCTCCCCCCCCCCAGGTTTCTTTTCTCTTCCCATTGTTTTCTCCAATTATTTTTGTCATGAAAGTCTAGAAACTGGAATGTTTAGGAACTCACAGGTCAGCAATGTGGCCAAAAGACCAAATAGGAAAAGACAACCTTCTTCCTTTCAGGAAACGAGGAAACACTGGGAGCATCTACATTTAAATACTTGTTTTATCGTATTTGGAATATTTGCTTTATCATATTTGTAAAGGGACAGACTGAGAGCCAGCAACAGTCTGAGATTAAAAGTTTAGTTCACTTTCCCAAGGAGTCTAGAGTCCAAGTTTGGACCAGATCTGCTAATTTCTGATTGGCTGGTCACAGTCAGGAGATCAGGTTCCAGGTGTTTCCTAGTATGGTCAGCATCTCCTCCAGGAACTCTGTTCCCTGATGAGCAGTGCTGGTGTTCTCCTGAAGTTCCCCCTACACTTGGCGTCTGCTCCATTACAAATCCTTTCTTAAAGTTACTGAAAATGTGCGTCTGCCGTTTTGCAGGAAGTACTCCAGCTCTGAACTTTTAAAAGAAAGCCCACATTTTGCTAATGCAAAAAAACGTTCCATTGTCTTCTGCTCCCATCACTTGAAATCTCTGAACTGAATCTAACACCTCTTTTCTGCAAATATACCAGAAATTACTCTCCAGAAACAGCTGGAAAGTGACATCTCACTAAAGGAGTGTGGCAGGTGCTTACATACACTATACATTTATTCAGATCTGTTTCTTGTGTTGTATTTTTGTCTTTTGAGGTTAGTTTTACCTTGGAAAGTGAGGTTCATGAACAAGGAGGCTAATGTATTTTTGTGATCAGACTTGCTTAAATAAGCCACTTTCAGTTAATAGTCCTGCATTTCTGCAGTACACTACGGGCCAAGGTGGTTTATTCTATCCTACTTAAATTTGATCTTTTTAAAAGTCTCACTGTTTTTCTTGAGTAAATATCAATCACAGGGCTGCTTGTAAACCCAGGTAGCCTTTCACATTTTCCCTGCACCGATCACTTCTCATCTTCTTCTTGCAAGCCGATCTTCCTGCATGAAAGGATGTGTCAGGTTGGGCCTGTCATCCTGTTCAAGATCTATCTCTTGATTTCCATCTCTCTAGCACTGTTTTCCCTAATTATCCCCATCTCACTAGGATCACTTCTTGTCTTTCCATATTCCTAAATCGACAGGATATGACCAGGTGTCTACTGATTAACTGTGTTGTTCTTTTTAGGTATCTTTTTAAAAATCAGATTAATGTAAATAACTATTTCTTGAGTACCAACTGCAGAATGCGTGAGGTTCTTAATATTTTTTTAAGAAGCACAAACATGACTAAGATAGTCTTTCTATTCCAGACATTTTAATCTGTTTCCATTTTGGCATCTTTACAAAAACTGGCGATGGTCAAAAACTTCTTAAAGACCTTATTGTGAAGTAATCATAGACCACACAGTTCACTCATTTAAAGTGTGTAATTCAATGGCTTATAGATCCCTTGCCGCAATTTTAGAACATTTTCAGTAGGCCCCCTGAAGAAACTGTACTTCTAAGCCATCATCTACCCCCCATCCCTTCCTACTCCTTTGTCCTAGGCAACCACTATTCTATTTTCTGTGTCTGTAGATTCGCCTATTCTGGATATTTTGTTTAAATGTAACAGTCCAATCTGTATCTGGTTTCTTTAACATAGTTTTTTCAAGGTTCATCTGTGTTTACCACGTATTAGTACTTCATTTCTTTCTTTCTTTTTTTATTTTTATTTTTTGACAATTTTTGAGCAGTTTTAGGTTCACAGCAAAATTGAGAGGAAGGTTCAGGGGTTTCCCATACACCACTTGTTCCTCTCCATACATAGCATTCCCATTATCAACAGCCCTCAACAGAGTGGTACATTTATTACAACTGAAGTTTTAAACCTTATGTTATTTCATATAGCTAATTTTAATCTACTTTTATTAAATACTTTCTTTATTGCCTTTCCCTTTTCCCATTGATCATTCAGCTCAGGTGTCCCAAGTAACCATTAATAGTAGTCTTTCAATTATTTTTCCATTTTCCTAGTTAAGGTGTGTGTGTGGGGGTGAAGTGTCTATGTTTTAAAAGACTTGCACTACTTTAAAACTTGGGGAGAGGCAGTCTGTACTGAAGAGATTCGGGACTTTAAGGTTAGGAAGCTAAGCAGGGATTCTAGTTTTGCATTTGGCAAGTTTCTTAACCTCTGCAAGCCTCAGCCTCCTTATCTGTGAGACAAATAACATGATGATGCCAATCTGGAGGAGTTACTGGCAAGACGAATGCATGCAATCGTCACAGAAAACACCCTCTACATCCTGGCACTTGGAGGTGAAAAAAGGAAACTAGAATTGTGGAAGACAGTTCTCTAGCTTTCCAGTGCTTCGCTGCAAGCAAATAGTGCTTGGCTTAAAGTTTGGCTTTGAGAGTCTAAAGTTTGAGGAGTGGGAGTATGGACAGGGTACGCCAAAGTGGTGATGCCTAAATTCCAGGCAGGAATTTACTGAAAGGGTCAGCAAACTAATCATTTCATGCATTTTCCTTCATTTACTAGAGCACGTTAATTCAAGTCTACTTTTTCATTTACTTGGTAGCTGCTTGGGTTTTTCTTTTTTTTAATGGAAAATAACATAAAAGAATCCCTGCAGAGGATTCCACCTTTGGTGGCTCTCACTGAATCCCAGTTCTACATCCTGCCTTAGAAGGAGATTTCAACACCTTCATACGACAGACAAGCAAAGGTTTTAAAATCTGTTCTGGAACCAGTAATGGAGGAGTAAATGAATGGAAGAATGGAAAAATGAATGACAAGGGATGAATGAAGGATAGTCTAGAGTAGAAGGCCGACGGGGATCCTTGTTTGCTGTTGTTTCCGCTACAATCTCATTTAAGAGTACTGGTCTATCTCCTCCCATATAGTTTCTCCCTCCCTCCTCCCTCTGTTTGCTCCATCTTGACGCTTCATTGAAAGCACCGCCCTCTTAGCGCCCCGCCCCTTTCCTCTGGCCCCGCCCCCAGCC